GGCTTGACCTTTAAGATGTACTCAGATGCTGATCATTTCTCACCACCTCTACTGTTACAACCTGGTTGGAGAAAGACTCTATCCATTTCTCACCTGGATTATTGTACTGACTTTTTAACTGCTTTCCCTTCTTCCAACCTTGACTCCCTGTAGGATATGCCCAGCAGGAAGAGTGATCCCTTTAAATGAAAATTACGTTACATCACTCTATTCTCAACATCCTGCCATCTCAGACTCAGTAAAAGTCTAAGTCTTTACGGTGTCCTACAAGAACCTCCATGTCCTGGCTCCATATTATCTCTCTGATCTTATCTCCCATGAGTCTGCCCTTCACTGCTCTAGGAAGTCACGGATCTGTAAAATGTTGAGATTTTACTTTACTTGCAAATAAACTTAGGTTGTCAGTTTCACTGTTGCTGATAGAAAACATGAGATTCCTGTATCAGAGATGAAGGATAATCACAGTAGTCAGAATATCAGCATTCTGCGCTGGTTTCCCGAGCCCTAATTCCCACATTATGGTGCCTTCTCTTCTGCTTTTGTTCAAACTGCGGTAACACACCAACACAGACTAGGTGGCTTAAACAACAGAAATTTATTTTCTCACACTTGTGGAGACTGGAAGTCCCAAATCAATGCACCAGCAGTGTTGGTATCTGTTGAGAGCTCTGTCCTCGAGTTGCAGACAGCTTCCTTCTCACTGTGGGCTCACATGGCCTTTCTCCTGTGTCCCCACAGAGACTCTTCTTATAAGGACACTAATTCTATCAGAGCCCCACCCTTATGACCTCATTTAACCTTAATTATTTCCTTAGAGGCCCCATCTCCAAATACACCCACACTGGCCATTAAGGCTTCAATATATGAATTTGGGGAGCGAAGAGGTACAAATATTTATTCAATAATACCTACCCTACTTAAAGTTTAATCACATTCTTTCCCAATAGTTCCTATACATTTTCTGCTTTATTTTTTTCCTTAGTGTGTGTGTGTGTATGTGTGTGTATACTTATTTATCATATATATTGTCTGTCTCTATCATAGAAAGTAATTTCTATGAAGGGGTTGGGGTTGCCTTTCTATTCACCACTAGAGGCCCGGTGCACGAAATTCTGCACTCGGGAGGGTGGGGGCCTGTGCCCTCTCGCAGTTCCGGAGCCCTCAGGGGATGTCCAGCTGACAGCTTAGGCCCGCTCCCCAGTCATTTGGACATCCTTAGCACTTCCGCAGAGGCAGGAGAGGCTCCTGCCACTGCCGCTGCACTCGCCAGCCGTGAGCCTGGCTTCTGGAGTTCTTCCTGTGGGAGCACACTGACCACCAGGGGGCAGCTCCTGCATTGAGCATCTGCCTCCTTGTGGTCAGTGCATGTCATAGTGACTGGTCATTCCACTGTGGGACTGAAACTGGCTCTCCAACATCCCCTGAGGGGTCCCAGATTGTGAGAGGGTGCAGGCCAGGCAGAGGGACCCCACTGGTGCACTATCTGGGCCAGGGATGGACTGCAGGAGGGCTCCAGGGCGTGTCTGGCCCATTTCACTCAGTCCCGAGCAGCCGGACCCCAGCAGCAAGCTAACCTGCTGGTCGGAGCGTCTTTTCCCTCGCGGTCAGTGCACATCATAGCGAACTGTTGAGCAGCCTTAGCATATCGTTAGCCTATTATGCTTTGATTGGTTGAATGGCCAAGTGGATGACCGGACATTTAGCATATTAGGCTTTTATTATATAGGATTATATCCCTTGTGCCTAAAACAGAGCTAGAACATATAGTAGTAATCCTTCAGTAAGTACTTGTTGACTGAATGAATGAAGGTTGTAGTAGGGAGGGCAGGTTATTTAGAAAACTGGAGTCAGGTATACTTCTAGCCAGTGAGGCCTCCTTTAAGAAGGAATCCCTAATTAATTGTGTGGTCAGTTATTTACTGTAGACTGAATTGTTAAGATCTTATAGAATCTCTTAAATTTAAGCTTACTTCGTAATGAGGTGTATTTCCAAAATAGTAGATTGTAATTTTGACTTGCTTAAGGTTTTTGTTGTTGTTGTTTTAAGTTAGGAAAGATTAAAGATGAAGTGATAAAGATTAATAATACATTGTTGGGAAAACTTAAAACCCTGTAAATACCTAATGCACAGAATATAAACAGTATTTTTTACCACAAATTAGGAAACAAAGCAGCTGTTTTGCAAGTGCAGCTTATTGAGAAATTGTCGTTTTGATGCTGACAGATTGCAAGTATCAGGTATAAGTAAATTGGCTTAAAAAATGTAGATTTTTTTTATCTTTTTAACCTACTTTAGGCTACCCCTAAATTAAGGATGCTAATGAATTTATACTTAGAAAAGTTTTCCCTTGGTGGGTAGTTAGGAGATGTGCTTTTATAGAAGGATCAATTCTAGATTAATTCTAATCATTCATTATAGCTTTTGGAATTATTTTTTTCTTCATGGGAGGTTGGGAGAACTATTTTTTTATACCTTGACCCTCAGACTAAAGGCCTAAGCCCCTACTCTCCTATCCTCTTCAGCTACCTAGCAGGACGTTCACAGGCCACACATTCTGGTTTTAAAGAGAGTTTAAAAACACAACCGAGATGTTAAAGCTCTAAACATGTTATTTTGAATGTGATAAATTTTAAATACTTCAAATTATAAAGTACTTTCTAAGTGGAATGTATTTTTATATATCACCTTCCCTTTTCATGTCTCTGTACACTCCTGAAGCCTATCAGCTTGATTAATCTTCTTACTCTCTTTACATCAGGGGTCCTCAAACTACGGCCCGCGGGCCACATGCGGCCTGCCGAAAACATTTATCCGGCCCGCTGGGTGTTTTTGCCGCCACTGTGTGCATAGGAATTTGTTCATAGTTTTTTTTTTAAACTATAGTCCGGCCCTCCAATGGTCTGAGGGACAGTGAACTGGCCCCCTGTTTAAAAAGTTTGAGGACCCCTGCTCTACATGATGTTAAAGAGCATGAGGGGGGGCGGGTTGGAAGGCTGCTAGGGCACTGCTTACAGGAGAGTCTGGAAATGTCAAAAGGTCAATCTTCAAGTTACCTTCAAAGCTTTGTAGTATCCTGTCTTCTGGGACAGGTGAAAATCACCCACAGGTAGTAATCTGGCCTGGATATTCAACTTGGAGAATGCAGGTGAGTAAACCTCTCTTCGGTATAAAGATGGATTAGCCTTCCCAAGAGCCAAAGGTAGTTTGTTTTATTTCATATAATCAAAATTGTTAGCATGGACTCTAGATGGTAAAATTGCATTAAATGTATTCTGAGTGCTCAATTTCAGAAGAAGGAAAACAGCATTTTCTAGTGAATGAGCCTATGAGAGAAGTGGAATCAGATGACATGATTATTTTTTCAGTTGAAATTATTTCAATAAATAAAAATTATACATTTTCTGAAATTTGCTTTTTAAAGAAAGGATTTTAAGGGGGACTATCCTATCTAATAATAGACAAACATGGTAATTGACCGTACCTTCGCTACACCTCCCATTGGCTAATCAGAGTGATATGCAAATTAACCCAACCAAGATGGCGGCCAGCAGCCACGCAGCTGAAGCGAGCAGGAGACTTGCTTGCTCCAGTGATGGAGGAAGCCAAGGTTCCCTGCCTGCCGCGGCCCAGCTCTGAGCTCCAAAAGCAATAAAGTTTCAATTATAGAAGCTAAACAAACCCCAGATACCTGCTTTCAGCAGGCCATGGCCACAGAGCTGGAGCGAGCAGGAGCCAGCTCTTAGCTCCAGTGACAGCAACAAAGTTTCAATTATAGAAGCTAAACAAACCCCAGATACCTGCTTTCAGCAGGCCATGGCCACAGAGCTGGAGCGAGCAGGAGCCAGCTCTTAGCTCCAGTGACGGCAACAAAGTTTCAATTATAGAAGCTAAACAAACCCCAGATACCTGCTTTCAGCAGGCCATGGCCACAGAGCTGGAGCGAGCAGGAGCCAGCTCTTAGCTCCAGTGACGGCAACAAAGTTTCAATTATAGAAGCTAAACAAACCCCAGATACCTGCTTTCAGCAGGCCATGGCCACAGAGCTGGAGCGAGCAGGAGCCAGCTCTTAGCTCCAGTGACGGCAACAAAGTTTCAATTATAGAAGCTAAACAAACCCCAGATACCTGCTTTCAGCAGGCCATGGCCACAGAGCTGGAGCGAGCAGGAGCCAGCTCTTAGCTCCAGTGACGGCAACAAAGTTTCAATTATAGAAGCTAAACAAACCCCAGATACCTGCTTTCAGCAGGCC